ATTATGGTTTTGACAAAATTCATATGGATAGGAACTCATACACCATAAAATCTAAGTGTCATAAGGTTTCTCTCCGATTCATGAAAATGATGGTGAGGAAACACTTTCACTAAGTAGATTTTAGCTAGATAGCAATTGTGATATTTGCATTCTCAAAGTCGTTAGTGGAGCGTGTGTGGTTAACCAGCACACTAACATGGACTTGTGAGAAGTGGTAAAGGTCTAAACAATCGAGACTATGATTACGGCATCCCTTTTCATAGTTCTTAAAATTGTTTAGACACACCTGTGAGCTATCTAAGATAAGGTGTATGATATTGATAAAGTTTTATCAAAGCAATCTAGTATCAGAAATCTGAACTTTGGTAAGAAAGTCAATAAAGTATTGATTTCTAGAAGTCCAGCTGATTTCTGATTACATGTCAAAGCTAGTGGGAGCATGAGTGTTATGCTAATAATCATCATGTTAGTGGGAGCATGATAATTATGATAAAGATTGCAAGTTAGCAATGTTAATTATAGAAAACAAAAGTTTCAATTCGTGAGGCTGCAGGGGTTGAAAAAGTTGTTTTGCTATAATTAAGGGAGAGGAAATTATACTTCATTTCAATTCTAAAAGCTTAGATTGAGGTTTTAAGTCGTATTTAGTCAAGGATATATATATATATGAATTTCATGTTGGAATGACTCAACATAAGGAAATTCTATATATGGGTCCATTATTTGCGTTCTAAAATTCGATTATGATTACGGCATCCCTTTTCATAATCTGAATTATGAGAACTTGGCAAATAGAAATGGAAATGTTATAGCAAAAGACTGGTTTAGTCTTTATGTGAGACATCATGACTCGTGTCCCATATGCTTCGGATATAGGATCGATTACATGTGCTATATTTATCCTTTCTAAAATTTTCCAAATGCCTGGGGCATTAAGAAGGGAAAAGGTCTAGAACTGGATATGACTAAAAGGATTAAGCAATTGTCGAGGACAATCTAAGGTTTACCAAAGATTGGTTGCTCAAGGACAGTTGGAAGTATAGTGTTAATTCTGGAAGGACCATATTGACATAATCTGTAAGGAGGCAACTCTTGTTCAGAAGTGATAGTCAAAATGGAATATGGAAATGTTTCAAAGTTGGAAATTATTCAATCTGTGTAAGATTAGGAAACTTAATGCAAGAAGGATGTTTCCAAGGAGTTGATCTCCTTGGAATGCTCTGTAATGGTTGTTGTCAAGTCTTTCTGACTCTGTGCATAATCATTACAGGAGGATCAATGCATATAAGTTTAGAATCTAACAGATTTCAGTAAATGGCATGAATTTGGAATTCTTGCATTTGCAGTAAGGATTTGGGACTGTGAAAGAGGATCATTGGAGTTATGTTCAATTGATCTAATTCACAAAGTGAAGATCATAGACAAACATAGTATGCATACTTGGTGTATGGCATGACTAGTGTTTAGAAAACATAGTGTACATGCTTGGAGCATGGGACAACTATTGTTTTAAATTCAAGAATAAAGTTGATAGCTGAAACAGTATACAATGAATAATGTGATGATAAATAAAAGGTGTTTTATTTATGTTCATAGGTTTTGATACCATATTAGATTCTATTATTATTGTGTTTCATTTTGCATGTTTTGACTTCCAGAATAACTAGGTCGTTCTTCCTGATTGACTAAGTTATTCAAACTATCCACAGTCGGTCATATGTTGGAAGTAGATATGAATCAAGACTGTCATGGGTTGGCTTGTAGAGGTCTAAGATGTTGGACAAGGGGCTACAACACTCATGAGTGCTCATAAGTTCTGAGTATTGGATTCAACCCGCGCTCATTGGAATCACTTCATGGATTTTATCACGAGTGATCATGAGACGATAATATCTTATATTCTTCAAACCTAGAGATATGAGTTGTTACTATGAGTTGGTTGTACATTGATTGCACGAAAACGCATTCGGTAACTCGGTGTTATAAAACGTGCCTTTGTGTATGATTCAACAAGTAGTAGAACAAGCCATATGAGTCGAAGTTTATCCATTCCTTTTACCTTCGGGATAAAAGCGATATCTGTGGGCCCCTCGATGATTTGATGATGACAAATGGAAGTGCTCGGCCGAGCCAGGACTGATTTGATTTGTTCAATTAGTCAGTCGTCATAAATCGGAAATCGGGAAACAACAAATGGACAGAGAGAATGATTATAATCCATGTCTCAGTCCATATGATATCTAGAATGGAGGAATATATGATCCCTTATCTAATGGACAAGTCATTGACAAAGGTCAGAGTTCATCTACAAGGTCAGAGTTCGACAGCGGCTTTTGAGAGCTACGATTGCCAGTTGGTTCCTGAAGTCATACGCAATAATAGTTTTAGACTTATCCAAGTGGGAGACTGTTGGATTAGTGTCTAAGTCCATAACTATAATTGGTATGTACTTGACCCGACTCGGCATGGTCCATTTGGGTTGCATGGCATCGGAACATTTGGATAGACCGTTTATGAGGAAAAGACATTTTGTGACATATTAATATATTATAAGTTCTAATATATTAATATGAAATCATGTTATTTAATTAGTATTGATCAAGAATTAATTTGGACTTAATTTAGTGATCAAAAAGAGACTAATTAAATATATGGGGATTGATTGTGTAAATCATTCATTCTTATATATGTGGGCTTATGATCCAAGATTCCTTTATGTTGGGTTTAACCCATGTGGTGATCCATGGATACTCCATGGAATGGGAAAAGTCATGAGTTACATGGTGTAACCCTAATGGCCATACTATATAAGAACCCCTTTAGTTCAAGAAATTGGCACTAGTGATACATATTTTGAGGGCTAGCCGATTTGAACATGTATGTCTTCTTCTCATGGTTATTCCAAGAGTTCATGATGTTGTGTGAACCATTTGAGGTGTCACACTTGGGGCACTAGGCTCTCAAGCTTCATGGAGTCAAGCAACAACAACAAGGTATGTATTCTATCTATTTTATTATCCTAGTATCAATGTTTTGGTATGCTAGTTAGGATAATACCTTGGATAATCATATTTGCATGTATAATAGAGAAAACATAGATCCAAGGTTTTTTAGGGTTGCATGTACACTTAGGAGTGTTAGAATGCTCAAAACCCATCAAAAACTACTTACAGAAATAGAGAGGATGAAGGCAGAATTTCATAGGTCCCAGGAAATGATACCCACAGTTGTAGAACCAAGGATCCTGAACTTCGACAATGCATGATCCTCATGATATCAACTGGGGAACACAGCTCCTGCTACTGCTGCATCAACCTGGGGAACAACTATGAACAATCGAGCATCTATGATCAATGATCTCAATGAGCCTTTCAATACTCCTAGAAACCTTGATTCTAGTAACCTCTTAACAACAATACTATCAATACTAACTCTATGAATCTTGATGCAGGGATAAGTCCAAATATGGCTAAGGAACTTCAGCAATTGAGAAAGATGATCTCAAGCGTACCCGGGGTAGTTCAACCCATACCAGAAGCATCTCCGACAAGTCATAGGATCTCGAGATTTCTCCGGTGATAGACGATACCGAAGTTCCTAAGCGATTCCAGACTCCAAGCATGAAGCCTTACGATGGAACTACGGATCCTGAAGAGCGCTTAGCACAATACCGAGAAAGGATGGAGATCATTCCCATCACAGTGCACTTGAAGGAAGCTTGCCTATGCAAAGGCTTTGGTTCAACCCTCACGGGATCAGCTCTAAAATGGCTGCTAAACGTTCCTCCCTATTCTATTACTTCATTTCCACACTTAGTCAATATTTTCAATAACTAGTTTTCTTTTACCATAACCTTCGAGAAGATCACTAGTGATCTTTATCGGGAGGTTCAGGATCCTAACGAATGACTTAGGGATTTTGTTAACAGGTTTGTGTAAGTCCCAAAACTATGGATGTTGTATGATATTAATCAATCTATTTAGTGAATGCGGAATGTAAACTAAATAGAGATTCAAGAACACAAGATAACTTTCAATGCACACAATTCTATTAACAATAAATCGTATGGTACATGGAAACTATGACTTCATCCGTGAACAAAACAATGAGCAACTACTAACTGGTTCACGGCTAAATACATATATATATATATATATATATATATATATATATAATATATATATATATATATATATATAATAATATATATATATAACAGTACAAAGCCTCAAAAAGCCCAAAAGCATCAAGACCGTAAACACTAAGTGTTCACGGTTCAGCCAACCGTGAACATATAAGGGCCCACTAACATACTAACATTCTAAGCACAATAAACAAAAATATTATGAGCCCAGCATAAACCACAAAAATATAACCCAACAATCTCCCCCTTGGTTTATTACTGGCTGCTATTACAGCTTATCGACTAGATGAACATCAGACTGATCGAACGCCCCAGCCCACAACTTCCGTTCAATTATAGTGGCAACCATTCCAGTGAAAGCTTTGCCTGCAACTTCAAACAATTAATTTTCTACAATAAGTTGAAAATGTGACAAAGTACGAATATCACGTTCTCTAAACTTCAACAAATCATTGGGATCGACAATGCGATACTCACTCTTTTTCAGCTTTATCACTGCCGACGCGATAGACACATCATCATAAACCTAAAATTACAGTGAGTCCAAGGTGCCTTCTGGTAAACGTCTGGGAAGCGGAATCCTTTTAGCTTGCTTTGTAGGAGGCCACATAACATTCACCATGGTTTTATTAGTGTGAGGATCAATGACATCCTTAGCCTTCTTCGTGAACGATGAAGCAATCTTCATGCCTTCAAATTTATTTTTAGATTGATCCTCAAGAAATCTCTTAAAATCCCAGGCCACGGAGTCATTGGTTGGATTGTTGAAAGAAGCGTGAATAAGTTCATCAAGATCAACTTTTGTCCAGGACATAAAGTCAGTTGGCTTCTCGTAATACTCAATTCGACTGCTCTTTCACTTCACGACCCACATTTTATTGTCAGCATCATATCCCCACATCAAAATGCCATAGCGATCTCCATAATTTTCAGTAAATTTCTTTCCAGTTTCCCTTAAAAACATTTCAGGGTGATCTCCTGGAGCATTCTGATCCGAATGTTTCATCACCAACATCTTCCATTTCAACTGCTCAATTCGAGCTTGTTTCTCTCTTCTTTTTTTAGCAGAAGAAGGACCAGAAGATAAAAAAGTGTCAAGATTCGCGTTTGGAGCAGGTCTAACAACTCTTTCACTCACATGTTGAGAGGGTGGATTGACTAAATCGGAGCTAGATACAGACATCTTTTCGACTTCAGCTCTTAAAGGTTGAAAATCATCACCAAACTTTTGATGTAAGCGTTGCTTCAGGTCAAAGACTAAAGCAGTTATACCACCAAGTTTCGCTTGAAGTTCAGAAATATTTGCATCTTTAACAGAGTTCTCATGTTCAAGGTTAGAAACTCTCAAATCCAGACTACCAATCAGAAAATCCTTATCAATAGAATCCTGCTTCAAAAGCATAATCTCTTGCTTAAGCTCAGAGACGGTTTGATGGGAGTCTTCATCACCTCCTTGCTTGGAGCCAATAGATATTCCTTTTCCTTTGGACTGAGAAATGGAATCTTGAAAAGCAAGTAACTTGGCTAATTTCACAGATGCAACATCATGCTCTAGAGGAAGTGGGGCAGAAGAGCTTCCCGAAGCAAATTTTTCCTCATTAACTATTTAACATTAAACATCTTCTTGGACCGGGGCTGTTTCAATGAATGGGCTTTGAACATCTTCTTGGACTGGGGCTATTTCAATGATTGGGCTTTGAACATCTTGAATAACTTGAGCGGGCTCAATAATTGGACTTTGAGCATCATGAGCAACTTGAATGGGCTCAGCAATTGGAGAGGGCTGTTGTACTGGCTCAGTAGAAAGCACTCCCGACCTTGGATATTTACGTCTTCGCTTTCTTGGTGCTAAGGAGGCATTTGAATCAATTTTATCACTCTTAGATGGAGAATCACAAATAACAGGAACTGCTTGGGGAGGCTTCCTTGTAGTTGACTGTAGTTGAACAATGAGAACATCCATCTGTTCGGGTGTGGGATCGTTTGACTGCTTGAAAATATTTACATCCTTTTCAGTCTCAGCTGGAGTATCCACATCATTACTAATCGGATCCTTCGGTGGTACATACATACGAAAATCCACTCCATCATCACTCTCATTGTCATCAGCATCATTAGAATCACCAACATCATCATCAATATCATTGTCGTCATCACTATCAGAAACCTCAAACGAAGAACTGAGATTTGGTCTTGCTGGAGCTACATGTTCTGCAGCTACTATCGCAATTGGAGTGCTAGAAGCTTGAGCATCTTCCGTTTCAGCAAAATTTCCAAATTTAACCAATTCTTTTACTCCTTGAAAAGTGATCTTAGTTGATTTTCTAGATTGCTTCATGAATCCAAAAGTGTTGGGACGTAAAGCTTTCATATCCAAAGTGTCAGATGACCTCTCAATTTGGGAATATTTTTCATTGAAGATCATGTGAAGAAACCTGGGATACTTTAAGAATTGATCCTTCTTCTTCCCCTGGAGATTTCTTTTCATTTCTTCAAAGAAAAACTTTAAAAAGTTGTAATCCCAGTTCATTGTTAGAGCGACAATAGCTGAGGTCGCAGTCTGAGTAATCTCATCAAACCCTGACTTTCTTCTAGAAATGAAAATTATAAAGTAGTGTGCTAGAAACCTTCAATAAGGTGGCAGCTGTTTCTTGATAGTTGGAGGATAAGTTCCTTCATAGCACATTTTCTCAAGCACCTCCTTCACTTTACTAACAGGGTACTCAGTTGGAAATGTAGGAGCATCACCAAATTCAAGCACTTCTCGAATAATTTTTTCAGAGATAATTATGTTAGTTCCCTTCACCACTGATTCAACAGTGCTAACTCCATCTGCACCCTGGTTACTGACAGAGGCATTTTTCCAGAAATCAGCAATTAGATCCTTGAAAACGACTGGATTAGAACGTAATGTGTGATAAATTCTGCAATTATTCAAGCCCACAATCACGGATTTGAATTCTCGATGAGAAGTAGGAGGATCCATAAGAAATCCAACAACATTGTGATTTTCATAGAACTTTAACTGATCTGCCATTTATCTGCACCAAACGAGTCAAGTAAGAATAATTCAAGTAAGAATAATTGTCCAAAAATATTGATTTCGATTCAAAGTTTAATGATTAAGAATAATAGGAATAATAACTTCTTATTAAAATTAATAACTTCCTTTTGACCAAGCGTTTACGGTCAGCGTAAAATTCTTTTGACTAAATGTTTATGGTCAAAGTCAAACTTCAACTGTTTACGGTCAAAGTCAAAGCTTTCACCGTTTACGGTCAAAATGATGAATTCCCTTGTATACGGTCAAATAATGGTTTTCCACGTTTACGTTCAGGAAAATGGGTTTCCAATCGGATCCGGATCAGAACTAAAACCCAAAGATAAACCGACGATTCATCGTCGACATTTTCGTCGGAACCACCGTCAGTTCATCGAAATCCCTTCAAATATTCTGCAAGATTTCCACGAAAAAACATGATAGATGAAACATCAAACTCGAAATCAATGTACCTACACACAATAGCAGTCAATCGAAATGAGATGTGAATGAGAGTGAGACGATGAACGATTTTGAGGGAAAAGGGGTTTTGAGAGAAAAGGAACAGCTCCTCTTTGTGTTCACGAAAAAATGAAACGAACAAGGAAAATTCAGGTTTTTATACTTAAGAAGTTTTGGGTTCACGGTCCAGTCCATGGGTTCACGGTCCAGTGGGCTTAATTTTAAAAAAGACTCTATTAAAAAATAAGTAATAAATAAAAACAAAAATAAAGTTTAAAATTTAATAACAATCAAAAGGAAAAATAAAAATAAAATTTAAATAGACCAAAAAAATAAACACACTTTAATGAAAGAATGAAATTAAGAACAATATTTTTGTATTTTTAAATTTTTATCATTTTTTACTGATTTTTTATTTTTTTTTTAAATCTCCCCCTAAATTTGTGCATAGAGGAAAAATATGAACAAGTTTAACAAAAAAAAAATTTAAATATAAAATGAAGTTTTTGGGATCAAAGTTGTCAGACAATTCAATATTGTTTAACAGCACACACCTGCATGAATAGCTCTGGTCAATCACCAATATTGTGGTCCACTTAAACACAAAGGATATTAACATATTTGACAGATTATAAATGACAAGTCATTGTGAATATAATCCTAAAAATCCCGATTGTGGTCAATCGGGATTTTTAGGATACCAAACACCCAGTTTGTTGGGTCTAAAATTTATGGTTTATACTTTGCTTTTCTAGGCAATTGTAATTTTCCGTCTAGGACTGAAAACTGTTCACGGCCCAGGTGGTGTTTACGGCCGTGAACTGGTTCACGGCCCATGTCCACTATATATTGTAGTGGTGATGAGAGGTTGATCAGTGTACGGCCAAGAGAGAGAGAGAGAGGAACTTAAGTGTGTGTGTATGTGAATCTCATGTAAAGGAGTATCATTCTATTCATCAATACATTGAAGATTCATATTATTCTTCTTCTCCTTCTCTTCTGTTTTGATCTGGAATCATTCGTTTGATTGGGATTCCGCACCATCAAACGGATCTGATTGATACACAAGTGAATTGGGGACTTACAATTGGTATCAGAGCTTGGATTGTATCAATCAATTTTTGCAGATCTGGAGCGTATTTGATCTTATTTTTGAAGGATGTTTGCGTTTTTTGATAAATCTTGGCAAAATAAGGGGGGTTTGTTCTTTTCATTTTTCATAAAAACGAGTTTGTGATCGAGTTTTGGAGCAAAAAGTGGTGAAAAACGCGGTTTTTCACGTCACCTAAAGCAGTGTTCATGGCCATTGAAGGGTTTACGGCCATTGAAGTGTTTACGGCCCAAGAAGGGTTCACGGCCCGAAGTTCTTTTATGGCGCACAGATGTTTACGACTCGGGGGTTTGCGGTCCGAGGTTCACGGCTAGCCTCGCCTCGGGTTCACGGCTCAACGACTTCGGACATTCTCGGCTAGCATCCTCGCACGCGCACGCAACGTCCTCGCATCAGCGTACACTTTTAAAAAAAAAAGAAACGATTTTGGGGGTTGCCAGGGATCGAACATGGGTCCCCTGATTCATCATCCAGGCGCCTTTCCAACTAATCTAGCTTGCTAGACGTTACAAACCTTCGCAATTTAATTCAAAAAACGCTTCTCCCATTCGATCCTAATTTTGCATTTTAACACTTTCAGCCCAAAAAATTAATTTTTTTTTTCTTTTATTTTTTTCAAAATCCATTTTCAACCAAAATTTTAGTTTATAATTTTTGACTTTTGACTTAAAAAATTGACTTTGACTTTCAAGTTTGACCTTTGACTTTAGACTTTGACTTTCTCGTTTAACCTTTAAATTTTCAATTTTAGCTTTTCGGTTTGACTTTTTAAATTTGACTTTTTAAGTTTGACTTTTTAAGCTTGACTTTTAAGGTTGACTTTTGAGTTTTTAGTCAAAGGGCATATTTTTTTTATAAAAATGAGTTCCTCAAAAATCCCGGTCACTAAAGTTTCATGTTCTCAATCTTGTGAAACTACTATTAAATTTCTTCGTGAACAAATTGAGTTACTAAAAAGGGAAAATGAGGACCTAAAGTACGAATGTTATACACTTAGGAAAGGCCAAAGACCTCTAAAAGAAAAATTAGAGATCAAGACTCAGGACTTTAGAAAACTACAGGAAGATTATAGTAATAAGTGTTAGAGCTACAATTTTATCGAGAAACAACTTGCCATTGTGATTGCCGAGCTTGACACATTGAAAAATAAGTTTGAAAATGCAGATTTTAATTTCAGAAAATTTGATGTGTCAAGTGAAGTAGTTGTGTCAATGATGGAAAATAGTTTGAGATTTAAAAATAACCAGCAAAAGGGTTTAGGGTATGATAAAGTTCCTCCTCCATTCAATCACAATTACATTGTCATCCCTATGACCCAGGAAGAAATTGACATAGAACCATATCTTGTGTATGGCAAACCTGGTGTATCTGTGTCGGAAAGTGGTCCTAAGGTTGAGAATACTAACGTTTCTACTTCATATGCAAATCTACCATTAAGTCATTGCAAGCAAGCAGCTGAAGAAAGTGTGTCAAAGTCCGATGACTCAAACTTTTTTGATATGTTTGATGATATCTTTGATAATTCTGCCGTGGTTGTTCCAGAAAGTGTTGAGCTGAACGATTTTAATACTTCTACTTCTTGTGCAGGTAAAGTAGTAGAGGATGAGGACAAGGAGAACATAACTAATTATAGTTCTGCAAATTCTGATGATTATCAAACCAATGACTCCTTGAACTCAGAATCTATTGCTTCTAATTCAGTTACTTCTAACAAACCTGCTATTGGCAAGTACATGCCATCAAAGCAAGTGAAACAAACGACATGCTGCAAGTGTGCTTGTGGGAACAATCAGAAGGAAAGGGCACGCCACCAGGGGCAGGAAGAAACAACTCCTACGTGAAGAAGCAGACTTGTTTTCACTATGGAACACCTGGACACATTGCTAGAAATTGTTCTAATCGCGCATACGTTCCCTACTACGCACAAGGCTGGCAGAACGCGCAAAGAGGGAGATCTTTCAAAAGAAACCCTTCGAGGCCACGTTCAGACAATGGTGATTGGAATGCACAGAAGGTGAAAAATCAAAATCCCAAGGACAAGAATGGAATGTCGGCCAAGAAGCCAAGCTCAAGAGATGCTCCATTGAAGCCAAGACCGGTTAAGTCAAAGTCATCTCGGCAGCCGACTTCAAGTTCAAAATCAAGTGTCGGGGCACCCATCGTATTGAACAAGAAATGGGTTAAACCCAATTACAGATGGGTTCCAAAGTTCCACTCTCCAAAATCTTCTAATGACTCTAATATTTCTACATCTTCTGTTTGTGATAAGCAGGATATGTCCTGGGAGAGAGTAGCTTGCACAGATGACAAAGGTCAACCCAGTTTCAAAATGGACTGGGTTCCAAAGACCAACTAATCCTACTCTGTGTCGGAGCAGCTATGGAGGCATATCATCAGACTTCGGTTTGTTGATAGTAGGTATTCCAGGCACATGATAGGAGGCATCTCTCAACTATACAACACTCAGAACTTTGTTTGAGAGTATGTATCCTTTGCGGGAAAGGAAGAAAGGAGAGGATCACACATGGGGTTTTGTGCTTAACGATGTGAAGAATATTCAGATCTGTTCTGAGATTATGCGTGCTGTTCTCAAACCTTCTAGATGCAAATTCAATCGGTGACTTACGGTTTCAGTGTTCTTCTCGATACTCCTGAGTTTATCTTAAACTAATTCGTTTTGAAGACAAATTTTATTTTCTTAGATGTCTGTTGGGAAGTGATATCA